TTGTCTAGGTGCTATCATATTTCATTTGATAAGGCAAAAAAAAAAAGGAAAGAACAAAGTTTAAGCAAGATTTATATGTGTTCCACCTTTTCACTCAGACATTCCTCTGCACTGTCTGTGTTCCATTTGAGATGCTCGGTTCTTCAGCAGTGTTCCCGTTGTTGTCCAAAAGCTTCAGTACAGGCTCTGGACATTCCTGATATGTAGTCCTCTGAACAGTTTGGGTTTGTCACTTCTGAAGTAAGCTTGGACTTAAGGGAAACTCTCTAATTTCCATCCTCAGCTTCAAGCACAGCTCCTGAATACAGCTCCTATTACTATTTTTATGATTTTATTTTTTGCATACAGCTTCTTAGTTTCAAATTGTGCTTCTTTCTGAAGCACCCTCTGCAATCAGGATCCAGCTGAAATAGGCTAAACTGTTTAAGACCATATGAATGGCAGAGCAAGTTGCTAGAGAAGCCTAACTCTCTGTATGCCTCTGATGAAACCTCTGCCCCCAAAGCAGACACTGCTAGAAACGTAGTCACCAACAGCTACAGCAGTCTAAACGCTGGCCCAAGCCATCTGCCCTCCCCCTTTTTCTGAGATCAATACCTTTTATTCATCTTCCAGTGTAGAATTTATATGAAATATCTATTTAGCAGTATATCGTAGCTGAAAGTGACTGGTAATACACTACACAGCTAAGTTATAACCACTTTGAATAAAAAGCAAACTTTTTAATCAACATGCTGCCATAAAACTTTTAGTATAAAATGATAGGCATCATTGCCTACTTGGAAAATTTCAATGTGTTATTAAAAATAATTCTGGCTGGCTGGGCATGGTGGTTCACACCTGTTAATTCCAGATACTTGAAAGGTGGAGGTAGGAGGATCACGGTCCAAGGCCAGTCAAGGCAAAAACATGAGATCCTATGTGAAAAACAAACTAAAAGCAGAGGATAGGAAGTGTGGCTCAAGTGGTAGAGCCCTGAGTTCAATCCCCAGTACCACCAAAAAATTTAATTTTTTAGCTGATACATAAAAGCATAAAATTACACACATTAAAGGGGTATTATGTGATGTTTTCATACATATGTACATTGTATAATGTTTAATGATTTTTGTTTGATATTTTCTGCTATTGTTACCTCCTTTTTTTGATGGTACTGGGGTTTGAATTCAGGGCTATGCACTTGCTATGCAGGCATTGTACCACTTGAGCTACACCTCCAGCCCTGTTACCTCCTTTCAACCTTTAATATTATCAAATGTTGCAAGCCTTACTACTCAGGAGGTGCAGGTCAGGAGAATCGCAATCTGAGGCTAGCCTAGGCAAAAAGTTCGCAAGGTGACGCACACCTGTCATCCCAACTATGTGGGAAAGCACAGATAAGAGGCCAGCCTGGACATAAAGCAAGACCCTATCTCAAAAGTAAAGAATGAAAAAGGGTTGGAGGCTCAAATGGTTGAGTGCCTGCCTAACAAGTGCAAAGTCCTCAGTTCAACCCACAGTACTGTCAAAAAAAATTATCAAATGTTTATTATCATACTAATTTTCTGATTTTAATACATATATTCTATAGTCATATAGGATGTTAAGGATCAGACAAGCTAGTGAAGGGTATGTGTGTATTCTTTTTGCAACTTTTCTATAAATCTAAAACTATCTTTTAAATAAAAAGCAAAAATGTTGATAATGGGGGAAGCTTTACATATGTAGAGCAAGGAGGTAAGGAATATGTCTGTACCTTCCTCTCAATGTTGCTGTGAACCTAAAACTGCTCTAAAAACATCAAGTTTTTTAAGTCCATTACCAGGTTTGGAACATTTTACATGTTATTAAAATAAACAATCATATCATATTATTTTGGTTCATAATATCAAGCTATCTACTTATTCTTATATACATAAAGCCTCTGAAAATTTTAGTATAATCCTATCACAGGAAAATTATTCAGTGTTGATTATTATGGTTACTGTTATTAATTATTTTCTTTTTGCTGTGCTGGGGAACAAACCTAGGACCTCAGGCATGCTAGGCAAGTGTTCTACTCCTGAGGCACATCCCCAGTCTGTCACTACTGTTATTTAAAAATATGAAATCGAAAATGTTTTTAAAAATACCGAGTAAGTTATAATTTAGGAATTACAAGGAATTCCAAGTTCCTGTCCTGAATCCCAAAGATTATGATCCTTTAAGAATTTGGAGACATTAGACCACAAACAACTCACAGAAACAAACGCAAGTCTTCCTTGGAGTCAGGTCTCAAGTCTTAAAGTTTCCCACATACCATGACTAGCACCCAGGAAAAGATAACAAGACATAGAAGGACAGGAATGAGAACTGTGTGCCATCAAAAAGAGTCCCACTAAGAGTTAGTATCTTGCAATCTTGTACCAACTACCAAATGACTATGTTTACCATACGGAAAGGAAAGTTTTTAAAATAAGCTGAATGATACTTGCTGAAAATAGGAAACTATGATGGGTAATGTATCAGACGTGAAAAACAGACAAATGGGAGCTTCTAGGAAGTGAGCCCTCCTGACTATAACTCCAGTCTTAAGAAGAAGGGCAGGGCAGCAGCTACGACAAAGAGCCCGACTCTGGGGCTGCACAGCACTAAATATTTGCTACACTTCAGGTCCCCAGGAAGTCCAAGTTCAAAATAACAGAGCAGTGGAAGGCAGACCAGGCAATTCAATTCAGTCACATTCAGTTAAGCTTAATTCAGTTCATGTGGTATTTACCAAGTTCCCACTATATGTACAACACGGCACCAGGTGTGAGGAAATAATACACTGGTAACAGATCTGTCTTCTTGGTAGGTATCCAAATGACTAAATATAATGTTGATCAGCTGTATCAAAAGTTCTTTCAAGATTAGGGGCTATGAAGGACTGGATTAGAGAGGCAAAGCCTGGTGCCAAACTGATCAATTAATTTCCTCCTCTTGAGGGGTGATTTGTTTTGTTGGAAATGCCTTTCATGAACACAAAGAAAAGACTTTAGCAGTCATTGTATGTGATTACAAGAAATAAGAGATTTCATCAATTCGCAGTAGATATAAACAACACACTTACTGAATATACATAAGGCCTTAAAATTCCCAATACTGTATTTGGTGGATTCAATTTTTTCAAAATTCTTCCTGGTTAAGTCTCCACCTACTTATTTCAGATACTTTCACAGTGTTAACCTCTGAGCAATAAAAAAATTTATAAAAGAATACTGGATGAATTGCTAAACTAGCCCTGAAAAAGAAGCTGATAAATCAACAGTTTCTTCACTGTGCCAGTCCATCAAGCCACACACTGCAGTGTTCACAGCAAGAAGACATAACACCACTACTGAGAAGTCCCTACTACCAGGAATCTGAGGGACTTTGGTTCTCCCACCTGTACATAAAACACAGGAAGACTTTACAAGCACACCCTGAGACTTGAAAGTGTAGAAAACAAGAGGCTGCTGGAGTTTGCTATAGTTGGAAATGCAGCCCCAGCCAAGGTTGCTTAGACTCCTTTTCAGACACCCTGAAGTTCTCAGGGTCACTGGCATTCCCCCAAGAGCTCAGGTCCTCATGCCACACGAATGCCTTCTTGAGGACCTGTCTAAGCACCTGTGCTTGTGCTTGAGAACAAATGCTGCTCCTGCCCCTGTTCAGCACAGGTGACTCAGGGGCCAGGTGCCCCCAGTTAGTCACACAGCACTTGCGCCAGGACCTTCCCACTGCCACATCTCCGAGTCTAGGATTTTGAGATTATACATTTTGTACTCTCTTAAACAGATTGAAAGCAGAAGGTGAGGTAGATCTGTGTGCTTTGTCTGCCAACTTGATCCAGGCTCTCTGCCCCACACTACTCTGCTTTTATTTCTCCTAATATCCTTCAATTTCTACACCCCCCAGATTACTTTTTATCAATTTTAATTTTTTTTTTTTTTGGCAGTTCTGGGGTTTGAACTTAGAGCCTTGGGCTTACTTGGTAAGTGTGGTACCACTTAAGCCACAACTCTAGCACTTTGTGCTTTAGGTAGTTTTTCAGATAGGCTCTCAGGCTTTTTGCCTGGGGCAGGCCTCAGACCACCTACCTCTGCCTCCTTCGATGCTGGAATTACAGGTATGAGTCATCAAGCCTGGCCTCATTTTCTTTCCTGAAGACATACAGGTTCAGAGGTCTCTGGTACACGGGCCAAAAGTGACATGCAGTCACATTTTCCTAGGGCCCTGGACCAACAGCTGTTGGCTCCCTCTCTTCCTCTTCCTACTTTGTAAATTATTTCTCTTGTGAGTCTAGTGACTATGAAGTCTCTAGAGACTGTTATAGAAGGTACAAGATGGGAAGTAGTAAACTGTGGTTATAAGAAACAAGCTTAAATCCCAGCTCCCTTGGCAAATTATTTAATCTGCCAAAGTCCTAGTTTCCTCCTCTATGAAGCACCTATATGAAGTATCTCTGTATCTTGAAGGGAGCTGTGACGATTCTATATGAAAAACGGTCACAGTAAGTGTTACCTATCATTTTGATCCAGTCTCTGGAGCAAAAAGATCTAAGTCGTAGTTTTCTGAGGAGGGCTTAGCCTGAATGTCTTTCATTCTTAGCAGACTTTGGTCAAGAACGTTACATTTACTGCTGACAGGATAGCTTAGTGATAGAGTACCTGCTTGGCAAGTGTGAGGCCCTGAGTTCAAACCCCAGTACCAACAACAACAACAAAAAAAGAACTTTCCATCTGTACCACAGGATGAATGCCTCAGCAGAAGACAGGCACACGTGTCAATGGGTGCACATCTCTGAGGCTTAAGCTTCTTATCTGAGCAGCAAATGAAGTGAGAGGACACAGTGGTCTTTTGACATAGCAAGACAGAGAGATCTAACTGTGGTGACAGAGTAAGGAAATGCATAACGAAAAAGCAAATCATTCTCAAAGACGTAACAATCCCTGGGTCACATGGGTAGTCTATCTCTGCGACCAGTGGGTGTCAAGAACAAGTTTATATTTTTTCTCACTTACCTCTCAGTTGCTGGAGCTCCAGATGCAGACTCTGAATGTTACTCTCATAGAATTCAAGGTTTTCAAGGGCCTCTGCCCTTAAGGATTCATCCTGCTTTTCCTCCAGCATCAAGTTCAGCTCTTCCTGAGCCCTGGTGTACATGTCCAGGTCTTGTTCTACTTCCTGAATCCTCACCAGTACTGAGGGGCATGGGGAAGTCTGGTCCAGACTCTTTTCTGTATGCTCAGGGGCCTCCTTTTCCGGGGCCTCCCAACTAGGATGCTGACTGGAAACGGGCTTGGGGGAGCCTACATTCATCCTCCGCTGTGCAGAGGGAGGCAGGGGAGCTGGACGAGAGGGCCGCATGACCAAAGGGGGCCCAGGTTTCGGGCTCTGCTCAACCAGCAGATGGGGAGAAGTGGATGCTGGAGTACAAGGCCGGGGTGGTGGTGGCCTCAAGGTCCTCTTCCTCTCAGGCAGCTCCTGTGGGGGGATTATCTTTGAGGAACCTTGAACGATATCCTTCTCGGAGTTAAAGTCCATGATTGAAAAGTGTCGCAAAATTTTCTCCGGCTCTGCACTAGGCCCTGACAGGCTCTTCTCAAACTCTATCAGCTGCTGTGTCAACTTGGAATCCAGGTCAACGCTGCCCTCTCCCTGTGACAGTGTGATGAGGTCTACAGCAGGTCCCTTGCCTTGCAGACCAGGCTTCCTCTGTGATCTCTCTGACTCAGAGCAGACGAGGGGGGCATTTCCTTTGGATGTGAGGCGCTTTGTAGCATACTGTGCCATGGCCTGCAGCTGAGGGCTCAGTTGGCTGGGTTTGGTTGCCCTGGAGGCTGTGAGGGAAGAGGCCCTGTGGAGGGAGGGCGCTGGCTTCTGAAGGGCTCGGGGCTGGGTATATGTTCTTCTGGGAGGGAGGGTGGAGTAGTCTCTAGTCCTGGCTTCCAGAGGAAGAAGGTCAGAGAACTGTTCTGAGCTTTGGTGGCTCCCTCCTAGTGTAGAATAATACTGTTTTTTCTGCACTTTGGGATAAAAATGTACCTGTGATTGGGAGGGAAAACCATTGACTACTTCTGAAGGCTCAGGCATGGAAGAGCCTTTAGCAAGAGGTTTTCCATGCTCCACGCCTGGACTTCTGGGATGACCTTCTTCTGAGGTGCCTGCATCTTGAGCAGAGTTCTTATTTACATCATACTCAGGAGTCCGACGATCTGGAGAAGCGGAGGAATCTGAGAGAACACTGCTGGGTGTCTCTGGTTCACACTCCTGACATTCATGTATTAGCTCCTCTGAAGAGTTTTCAGGGGTCTTGGCGAGGCTGCCTTCTTGGGGCAGAGTCATAGCTTCTGCCCTGGCGTTAGGACGTAGCTTTACAAACCGGTGAGGAAAGATGCCTGTCCTGCCCTTCAGCCATCCTTCTAGCCAGCCATCTTCCAAGGTTGCCAGAATTCTAATTTTATCCCCGACCTCAAAATCCAACTCATTGGGCTCCAGGGCTTGGAATCTGTACAGGGCGATGCCATAAGTCCCTGGTTCCTCTTCATCCTCATCAGGCCCTCTCTCTTCTCCTAGAGGAACATCTACTTCACCATTAGCAACAGAGTCCTCTCCACTTCCAGAACTTACTGACTCACCAACAGTCCTCAGGGGACCCAAAAGCTCCACAAAACCTTCAGGAAAAATGCCTCTTCGACCCTCTAACTCCCCTTCAAACCAGCCTGGCTCAGGAACTCCAATAATAGTAATCACATCGCCTTCCCTGAAGTCCAACTCCTCATCCAGTTGGGCAGACAGTCCCATCAGAGCGCGGGCTTGTCCCATGGAATATTCAGGAATCTGAAGCAGTGCACTCTGTGAGTGCCACTTCTGGCTTTGAGATGAGAGGCAGAGCTCCCGGACACACGAGGATGGGAAGAAACCCCGAGCGCCCCAGCAGCTTCGGCCCTGCAGCCAGCCTGCAATGGGAGCACCATCAAGAATCACCAGGTCACCTAAAAAAAGAGAAGCAAGGATAACGACCTCAGCCATCACCCCAGTGGAGTATCACTATGACTAACAGTGAAGTTATCATTTAAACACTAATTCAAGGAAATGTACACTAGAATTTCAGGAGCACGAACACTCGCAATGAGTCAATGAACTGGAACATCCCTATAGACCTAGGTTTGCAAAGTATGGACCGTGGAACCCTAGGGGTGGGTCCCTGAGATCTTTTCAGAAGATCTGTGAGATAACAATTGTTTTCATATTTCTTTACCTGTGATTGTTCAAAAGCAATGGGGGTGGGGGGGATTGCCGAATGGTCACTGTATTCTTCACTATCAACACTCACATGTAAAAAAATGAGGTTTCAGTTAGGAATGTCCTTAAGTTAGGTGTGGTGTCTCACATCTATAATCCTAGCTACTCAGGAGATGGACGTCAGGAGGATCTAGGTTTGAGGCCAGCCAGGCAAAAAGTTCTCTATTTCTCTTTTTTTTAAATGGTGGTACTTGGATTTGAATTCAGGGCCTTGCTCTGAGTTAGGCATGTGCTCAACCACTTGAACTACTCACCAGGGCACAGCCAGGCAAAAAGTTCTCAAGACCCTACCTCAACAATAAAAAGCTGGGCATGGTAGTGTATGCCAGTCATCTCAGGCATCTATGAGGGAAACATAAATAGGAAAATTGTGGTCCAGGCTGACCTGGGCATAAATGTGAGATCCTATTTGAAAAATAACGAAAGAAAAAAAGGGCTGGGGTGTGGCTTAATCAGTATGGTGCCTAGTAAGCCCTGAGCTCAAATCCTAGTACTGCAAAAAAAAAAAAAAAAAAAAAATTCCTTGATGAAGCAATACAAATTAAATCTTAACCCTTGCGGACACTTCCTTTGTAATATTCTGTGTGACATTATCATGTACAAAGCACTTTTACTATATGCCTTGAGGGAAAGCACTTGAGCAACTGAGTTACACCCTTGAACCAACTGCTTTTTTTCACTGAACACCATTTTTTGTGAAAGAATGACTAATAGATAGCTATGGTTATCTGGCTTGGATATCTGGCAGACTTTTTTTCCAAAATGAAAGAAGAGAGTCTTTAATTTCAAGGAAAACAAGCAACAGTATTTGTTGCCAAGGGTAAAATTCCAATGTCTAAGCTCAAGTTAGAATTTTGAAAAACCAGATCTACTACCAGGAGCTTGACAGTTTTCCCATACTTAAAAGACTTCTTTGATGCTATTAACAAATATAATTTTTTAATGTATAATAAAAATGATCAATATTTGGAAAAATGGAGTAACTCATTGAATCAATATTTTCCAAATGACCAATTTATGCTGTTATAAAGTCATACATGGTTAAAAGAGTCATTCCAAAAGCAAGATAAACTAATGAATTTTAGTGTAAAAGTATGAAAAGTTCACTGATATTCTTTCAGATATAAGTTTGCAATTAGCTCTTAACAAACTACCACTCACTACATCTTGGTGTGATATCGAAGAATGTCACAGTTATCCAGGTTATTAAAATGTACTTCGAATCTCCCAGTGCATAGCTCTGTAAGGCTGGATGTTTTCAATAGACTTCAACCAAAACAACATATTGCAATAGATTGAACACACATGCAAATATGAAATCCAGCTTTCTTCTATTAAATCAGACATTAAAAAGAGCTACAAAAATGCAAGCCAATTTTACTCCTCACTAAATTTTTTTGTTTGGAAAGCTACAGTTATTTTTTCATAAAAATGTTGTTTATATTACTATGTAATATTTTTAGTGAGTTGATAAACTTTTTAATAAATTCCCTGTCTCTATAGATAATATGATAATTATCAATAGATATAGACTACAATAAAACAAAATTTCTTTGGGGTTTCAATAACTTTTAGGAATATGTAGTGTTCCTAAAGCCGAAAAGTTTGATAAATACTTTGAGCTGGCAGAGTAGCTCAACTGGTAGAGCACCTGCCTAGCAAGTGTGAGGCCCTGAGTTCAAACCCCAGTACCCACCAAACACCAAAAAAAAAAAAAAAAGTTAGATAAATGCTGCTATAAACAATACTAGTACATCCATGCCTCTGGGTTTAATATAGCCCTTTGGATAGGGTTTGCCATGAACCTAACTTCTCACACTATATTTTATTTATCATAAAATATGCAGCAGTTAAGAAAAGTCTTAGTCAGGTGTCATGGTTCAAGCCTGTAATCCTAGCTACTCAGGAGGCAGAGATTAGGAGAATCACAGTTTGAAGCCAGTCCTAGCAAACAGTTCCTGAGCTCCTATCTCAAAAAAAAAAAAAAAAAAATCACAAAAAAGGGCTGGTGGAATGGCTCAAGGTGTTAGGCCCTGAATTCAAACCCCAGTACTGCCAAAAAAACCCCCCAAAAACTCTTCATGAATGGGATAATGGTTGGAGAAGGATGTGGGTGATAGGATCTTCACCGACTCCCTCTACAGGCCTTCTTGAGCTAGCCCTATCCTGAACATACATTACAACAAAATCTTAAAGAAAGTTCTAGTAATCAGCACTTTTATTTTTGACAATAACCAATATTTCAGGTTATCTTCATAAAATATAAGCTGAACGTGACATCTGTCTCAGTGTTGAAGAAGGTGAGGTAAAGAATGACAGCTCAGTTTGTTTCTAGAAAAAAGAAACTAAGTCTCTAAGGATTTACCCCAGTTAAAAACAATTCCTCCATGTTCTGCAATCAGTGGTTTTATAACAAATTCTTAATCATCTGATTATGAATTATTCATTTTGTGGGTTATCAATTTTAATCTTATTTGAACTTTATTTTCACTGCGCTCTTAAGTCATTGCCTTTTATGCTCAAGGAATGCAAAACAGCAGTAAATGAGAAGACTAGATGGGACAGCAAAGAATCCAGCAAAGTCACAGGGTCAATCCACAGTCAGGCACACCAGAAAGCTGGGTCTTCTATGCTCTTGAGTTACAGTGGATTTTGCAGGTCCGTGTAACACCAGGCACCGCCTCGCTTTTGCATGTTGAGAAGCTGGAGAATTGCCTTTTGCATAGTCAACACTCGTGTCCACTTGGAAGTGGTAATTATTCTTCAGCCCCAACTCCCAGACAAATTCAGTATGTCTTCCCTCTCAAACGGCCTCCTGCTGCTAATTTCCTTTCATAAAAATATTTCTCCCATCTATTGATGACTCTTTGCTAATACCCTAGTCCAGATCCTACCATCTTGCCCTTTTAAGTGCTGCCTCATAAATGATTTCTTCCTGCCTACCAGAGACTCATGCCAATTAAGACTTATACACACACCAGTTTTATCAGATTTCATCATGAGACATGGGGAGTCTACTGCCCGTTAGCTTCTTCTCTAATAATTCTTATTTCCTGACCTAGAGAAAATGGAAGTTTGCTCTGATACATGCTACAGAAGCTTACTTGAAGACACCATAAGGCTATTCTCCAATCATAATTCTACCCTCCATCAAACACTTGCTGTGATCCCACCAAGGATATGAGACCCTGTTCCACACCTGGCGTCTTTTGTTTGGTTTTGTTTGCTTTTAAGACAGGGTCTTGCTATGTAGCTGAAGCTGGCCTCCAACTCCTACCTTAGCCTCCTAAATGCTGAGATTATAGAGTGCACCACCATGTCCAGCACGTAAGGGACTTTGCTTCCCATACAAAGCCATGTCTTTATGAACTCCAAACTTTTATTACCATTTTCTCTCCATCTGAAACTTTTTCCTTAGAAACTCACATTCGTCTTGGACATCTATGGCCTACAAGAGAAATGACGGCTTTTATCATGAAATCTGGCACTTGCACGTTTACATGCTGCATGGCATTAGACTTGTAGAAGGTACACAATATATTTTCACTGACTTGAGAAATGTTCCCCCAAAATAGTGTTTTTTAAGTGGTAGGTAAGCACCCTTGCACTTAAGCCATGCACCTAGCCCTTTTGTTTGTATTTTCCTTTTGAGCCAGGGTCTTGCTAACTTTATCCAGAGTGGCCTCGAATTCAAAATCCTCCTTCCCCCATCTCCCAAGTAGCTAGGATTACAAGCATGCTCCACCACACCCAGCTCGGTCTTATATTTCTTTTATGATCTCATATTCACTGGTCAAAGCTTTGGGTCCCAAGAATTACAAGTTATTTCCCCTACTGACCCCAAGGCCTGCCATCAGGGTCACAGAAGGAACTCACTGGTGATATGACTGCTCAGACACAAAGGGCCTCTTGGTGAATAGAAAATCAAAGCGTGCCATAACTTCCACTCTGCTGGCTTTAAAATGACTGGCTCTCTTAACACAGTGGAATGACAGTGTTTTCTTTGTTTGACCAGATCTCTATGAACTCGTATAATAGGGCTTGTTTTCCTGTCTATTTTCAACAGAGTGACTGTTTTGATAAGCTTTACTACCTGAAAGACTGTCACTCTGTTGGTTAGTTCTACATAATAAAGGTGAATTTTTAAAAAAATCACATTTAGACCCTAGAAGGCACCTTAATTTAGTTCAATGACTAATTTTACAGTCCTGCCTGCTCCTGAGTTTTCATTGGTCATGCAAGCCATTTCCCTGGAATCCTTGGTGATTCCCTAGAAATGGAGACTGCCTGATGGTCATTTCCAGAATCAATTTCCAGACACCATTATGAGGAACTCTTGGACTAGTGTGACCAGATTTAAGGACAGAAATATAGAAAATGCAGTGACCCTTAGGGTCAGCCTGAGCCTTTGGCTCATACACAAGTAATCCCAGTCATACTGCTTGTTTCCCTTGATCGGATTTTTTATTTGAACAGGAAGTGAATTAGGAATGAAATGATAAGAACAAATGCAGGTCTTCTTAGAACCTGATATAAACAGTCTGGTCCTGCATGAATAGGTTCCTCTCTGACTCCCTTGCAGCTCTAAACACCCAGGGAACTGAGTGCATGTTTTAATTAGGTTTCTCTGTGAGCCATATCAAAACTTTAACCCTGCTGTCTTAAACTTCTGGCACACACGTGCTATGACAGATAAATAATACTCATCAATTTATTTATAAATAGATTCCTTGATTTATTTTTCTTAGCCTTTTGTTTATGGGGTAGCCTAAAATATGAGGTTATAGACAAGGCATAAGCATTTTGTTATGTGAGGCAATTATTAGTGATAGCCCATATGACACATTCACTTTCTCCCCTCTTTTTCCTGTTTTTTCCTTATCACACTCTCTTGTTTTACTTTTCTTTTTTTGTTTTCTCCTCTATTTTAGGATAGTCAGTGGCACTGGCCACCTGTACTGACCCTTCTTCTATGAGATAGTTTTGTTTCTTAGTTTAAATATAACATAAAACACAAGGAACAATCCAAAATAATGGGGAGCTTCAGGAGAAGGAGGAAGGGTGACACCTGCTGGACGAACCACTGATGACTCCAAGTCCAGGTAGAATTACCTGGGAAAATGTCCATACACAAACCTGCACAGACATATCCAAGAAACAGACCCCAAAGCACACCAAGGAGCCTCAGGGACACAAGTTGAGGCTAACTAAAATAGCTGGCATTTATCAAGTGCTTTCCTTTGCCGGATGCTTTACACACAAAACCGCGTTTAATCCTCATGACCACCCTGAGGTGGCTATTAGTACCCTCACTTTTTATATAAGGACACTGAGGATGAGTGACTTAAATGACTAGCCCAAGGTCACAGCTATTAAGTGGTGGAGTTGGATTTAAATCTAGGGCTATCAGAATTCTTATCCTATAGGCTGTATCACCTGCTCTTAGCATATATCAATACACAATGCGTCTGTTATATGTACTCATATGTACATATAGCTAGGTATACTTTTTCCTGTATTAATACTGTTTTATCAGTACTGCAGTTTGAAATCAAGAGCTTAAGTATGATAGGCAAATGCTCTACCATGCCCTCAACCCTTTTTGCTTTAGGTGTATTTGAATAGGAGCTCTCATTTTTGCCCAGGCGGGCCTGGACCAAAATCCTCCAATTTTTGCCTTCTACATAGCTGAGATGATGTATCACTATGCTCAGATTTAATGACTGAGATTGGGTTGCACTAGCTTTTTGCCTCAACTGGCACTGAATTGCAATCCTCCCAATCTCTGCCTCCCATGTTGCTGCGATTACAAGTGTGAACCACCACACTTGGCCTTGATGATACTTCTTAAGTAGAAAACAACTAGAAAGGCAGCTTGGTAGCACAGCAGCTTGCAAACACAATCCCACATACTCTTACAGTTTCTGAATCTCTTTCTGACATTTATTCACCAAAGTTTTCTGTACACAGAAGAGGAAAAGCTACTGTTACACTGAGGGTTCCAGAGACAGAGGAAAGAAATCACAATGGTCAGGATTAATAGTACTGAGGCAGTGGCAAAGGAATTGATACTACTCATGAGCTGAATTGCTGCTCTAATGGGAAAGTGATTTTTGGCCTAAGAAGTAGAAGGGTCACCTCAAACACTAGACTTGAAAACCAGGAAACCTAGACTCAAGCCTGATATACTACATGCAATATAAAACAATGCTTTCATTTTGTGGTGACTTTGTTTCCAAATAGCAAAATTAATTTGTGTTGATGTCACCTGTCATGTATAGAAAATAAGAGGGATTAAAATCATTTCAGTGTGTCAAGATAAGCTTCTCAGAAAAAGACAAATTATATAGGTACATTTAATCACCTCATCCATGAAAGCTTGCTTTTTCAAATCAGAAGCCATATTGAGCTAGAAGATATGTGGCAGGCACAAAAGGGAAGAGCTGACTGGGCTAGGGTATTTATCAGCAGCAGGATATCTCAGAGAGGAGAACAAGATAAAACCACTTATCTTTTCTATTCGCTCTCCCCTGCATCCTAATTCTTAGGACTCCTCTCATAAGCTCTACAGATTCCAGGGCCCCACCTGATCTTGAATCAGTCTTGATACAGGCAATTCACAGCTGAAAGGTCAATGTCAGGGTCTTCTGGAGACTCTCTGAGGTGGCTCTAGGATTTCTGAGGTGGATTTTAATTTCAAAGCCTGTTAAGAACACACTAGGCCAATCTTCACAGCACAGGCTTCAGCACAAAATCTTTCTCTTTTATTTTTAATTTCTAAGACGTGACTATACAAGATGTAATTATGAAGAATTATGAAGCAAAAATGCCAATTTCAGAAGCCACATCCTCAGATGCCTCATAATACTGTAGACATACTGCATCTTTCCACACAGCATACTCCTCCACCCACCATTCACGCCAGGAGCCAGGTGTAAGAGATGGAAAGCCCATACTGTCCAAGTCCTGTGGACAGCTCTGGTAGAAGCCCTTTTTCCGTTCTGTCCAGGGCTGCTAGCCTGGCATTGACTCCAGACCTCTGCTGGGAGAGCTGTAAGTAAGGATAAGGTCCCTGCTATAAGTTCCTCATCTATTTCTGTTGTCCCAACACTGAACAGAGAAGAGGCTGAGTTTGGGGTGATGTGCAAGAAATTCTCAAAACAGATTCTGACTCTAGGTTAGAGAACTTTGTGTGTGTGTAAATAGTTTAAGAAATTAAGCCCATCTTGTTTCAAAAGAACAAGCAATTATACTGATAACACACTAAGTACTGCCACTTCCTACCTTCCTACAGTACTAGGGATTGAATCCACTTGAGCCATAGCCCCAGAAAGTTCCACCACTTTGATGACTGAGTCATCACAAAACTGGATGGATCATAAGCCTCCATCTGGGGAATACTGCTGGTTTCTGTGTTCATGCAGAAAGGTGTGAACTTAGCCAAGTATACTTTGTTGAAAAGGTTTATAATCCATCTTTAGAAATTCCTATGTCTATGAGAGTACAAGTGAGAAATGTGTGGAATACCATTGAGACACCATGAAGACTTTCCTGTTCAACTGCTCTCCCTTTTAAACTGATTCTGGTGAGAATATAACATTATCTAATGGAAGTGTACTAAATGGGACTGTTTTGCATTTGTCTCTTAATTACCATATCAAAATTACTGTTTTGTGCATTAATAAATAGTAATTTTACTAACAAAGCCATGTTAGTTTTTATGGGAAAGAGAAATAAACTGCAACAGTGGAAAGATAGTCCTAGACTTAGGATAAGATGATAGGGGTTCACATCCTGAGGCCAAAGCTTCTCACCTGCAGCAAACAGCCTCTGAACTTCACTAGCATTTATAAAATACAGTTCATAATACTTAGGTCTGTGTTGAGGATCAGATGAGAATGTATTTGTGAGGAAATACTGTGAATATGGTAAAATGCTACTCAGATACTATATGTATTACTCTTACTACTGTCCTCACTATCTTGGTGTTGCTGAGGACTCTCCAATATTAGCCATGTATAAATTTTTTAAAAAGACCTACTTGTCAGAATGGGCAAGCCCACTCCTTCATCTTCAAAGGGCCTACTCTTTGGTGTTCAGCTTACCTCGATGGAGGGGAAGACTGTTCAGTTCTTGGGATGTAAACTCACAGATGCAAACAAACAGCCTCTCTCCCTCTTTTAGGCTGGGAATGGTCACAATTTCCACAAAACTGCTGGGGAACTGTCCTGAAAAAAAAAAAAAAGCCAACATATTCAATATTGAGTTTTCTTTTAATACTGAAATTTCTTTTTCTGTGCACATGGAAAAAACTTTTTTCTGAGTCCATTTATAGACCATGGATTGAAAATTCACTTCATGCTAATAATTGGAGAATCTAGTGTAGAAAAAGTTCAGTGCACAAAATTAGATTGGTGCAGAAGACAGAATGCAATTCAATAAGCATTTATCAGTGCCACTCTAGCAAGGTACTCTGCAGAGGGAAACAAGTTGAAAATCTAGTGCAGACATAAGTAATAATTCTGAAATCCTGTGTCATAATGTATGCATACAGATTGCTATGGAAGTTCAGAGAAAGCCGATAATGGGTCAGGAAGAACATGAAAAAAAATTACTGATTTTCTTTTGAGACAGAGTCTCACTATGTAGTGCAGGCCAGCCTTAAACTTGCTATGCAGCCCAGGCTTACTTTGAACTTGTAATTTTCCTACTCAGCCTCCCAAGTGCTGGGATTACAAGTGTATACCACCATGCCTGGCTCTAGAACATGAAAATGTTTAGGAAAAGATAGCAATTCAGTCTGAAAATGGGTAGGTTTTAACAGGTGGTTGTAGAAAGACAGAGCCTGCCAGCTGGAAAGAGTGAGAATAAGAGGTGTCTCTTGAATCTGTCGTTTACCTGTCCAAGCCATCAGCTCCTGCACCTGATGACAGCAGCAACCTCCCACCTTGCCTGTCTGCCTTCAGCTTCCCCCACTATCATCTTCAAACTGCGGCAGTGCCCATGCTTAAAGCACTTCCCCAGTCTCCCACTTCCATAACTCTCACCTGGCATAACCTGTCTGCCATGCCCAGCTGTCCCCTCACCCGCTCAAGCTTCATGGCTTACTGAAGTTTCCTCCGTCCCTTTGTCCAGGGCTTCTGAACGAGCAATCCTCTCTGCCTTGCTAACTCCCTGCTTCGTCTCAGCAGGGATATCACTTCTACTGGAAGGTAATCCATTTATTTTCCAAATGTGGGTTGAGCATCCACAGAATCTACTCTCAGGACTGTACTGCACACTCCAACCCAGACTTAAATACATGCAAGTTAAGGATTGATTAATATAGGTGCACATTGTGTGGAGAAATGTTCCCCTTCCCGTGGACTAGTTGATGAAAGAAATCCCTGTTCCTATGTATTTAAAAAAATAGAAGTAAAGTAGCCAGATGCATGGAATGTGGGAGATGGGTAGTATCTAGGGCAGAGGGTGGCTTCAGGCGAATTGGGCCAAGCACAGATCTAGGAAGGAGTGAACAGGGTGACGCAGGCTCCCCTGAAAAGAATGAACGACAGGGCAGGAAATGAGAAAAGAAGATGGCCAGAGGAAAGAGCACCTTAAGTTCCATCAATCAGAGGCAAACCTGCCCGTGAAAAGCAATGGAAACAGGGGTTCTGAAGAAATGCATATTTTGAGAAGGGAAATAATAGCACTGAATACAAAAGATAAAGAGCGGAGAAGGGAAAGGGAAGGAAAGGGAAAAGCATGAGTGAAAAACTAGGCTGGGGACAGCTGGAATCTAACCATTTAATCTTCTGAAAGAATCAATAAGGAGATGGAATGACGACAGAAACTCTCCCCCACATCTCCACGGTTTGCACACAGGAGAATCCTGAAGGCACTGGCTTAGTGTCCCCTTTAACCTTTATTTTTATATGGAAAGAAGGGAGGGGCTGCAGTACTTCATGCACAGGAGGAATTGTGGCCTCTTACCTGTGACGTCCTCCTTCTTCCCTAGAAGCCAAAATTCATCCACCACTGCCAACACCTCAATAACATCTCCCACGAAGAGCGGCAGCTCCTCTGATACGCTAGGGCAGAAGTCAAAAATGGCGCGAACCACTGAGCCAGTCTCCATCCTTCCCACCTGGAAAAGAAGGTCAAAACAATCAGAGAGAATCAATACTTAACATATACCAAAAACCTTTTTTTTTTTTTTTTTGGTGGTACTGGGGTTTGAACTCAGGGCTTAGCACTTGTAAAGCAGACACTCTACCACTTCAGCCATACCACCAGTTCATTTTGCATGTTTATTTTAGAAATGGGGTTTCAAGCATGATTTGCTTGGGCTAGCCTTGAACCACAATTCTCCAGATCTTTGCCTCCCAAGTAGCTGGGATTACAGGTGTGAGCAACCAGCACTCAACCCCCCAAAATCTATTTCTTGAGAATGATAAAGCTTAAGGTACAAGCATACTTAAAACGAAGTCAAAACTAAGCAAAAAAGTTTGTATTTTATATATTAAAAAATCAAAGTACTTTCTCATTTATTTCTTTAAAAAAATAATTTCTTCACATATTTTTATCTGATTCTCAAAATAATTCTGGAATTGAAAAAAATAAAAAGCACAACCGAGACCTTAGAGTGACAGAAAATTCTGGGGGCATGTAATCCCAGCTATGTGGAGGTGGAGATGCAAGGATTGTTTTCAGGTCAGCCCACATAATAAAAAAGTTAGTGAGACCCTATCTCAAAAAAGAAGCTTGATGTGGTAGTGGTGTGTGCCTGTGGCTATTTGAAAGGGGAGGTAGGAGAATTCTGTTCTGAGGCAAAACACTTGACCCAATCTGAAAAATAAAGCAAAAAGGGCTGGGAGCATGACTCAAGTGGTAGAGCACCTGCCTTGCAAGTAAGTAATATCACCATCGTTGTATTGATGGGCCCAGCTTGGTGTCTACAGATGAACAGCTTAATATGAGTTTAAATCTTTTATAATAAATGGAAAATAAGGGCTGGTGGAGTGGTTCAAGCAGTAGAGTGCCTGCCTAGCAAGCGTGAAGCCCTGAGTCCAAACCCTAGTGGCACCAAGAAAAAAAAAAAAAAGAAAGAAAACAGCAATTTTGCCAGGTGCCAGCAGCTCACACCTATAATCCAAGCTACTCAGGAGACAGAGATCAGAAGGATTGCAGTTTGAAGCCAGCCTGGGCAAAAAGTTTATGAGCCCCTATCTTGAAAAAAATCCATCACAAAAAAAGGGCTGGTGGAGGGCCCTGAGTTCAAATCCCAGTACCAAAAAAAAAAAAAAAGGAAAATAAAGGCCAGGCACAGAAGCTCACATCTATAATCCCAATTACTTGGGATGCAGAGATCGGGAGGATCATGGTTTGAGGCCAGCCTGGGCAAAAGGTTTGTGAGATCCCATGTCAACAAACAAGCCAAGAGTGGTATTACATGTAAGAGGCATAGGTAGGAGGATCATAGTATGAACTTGGCTCAGATAAAAGGTGCAAGACACTATCTGAAAACAAAAAGAGACAGAGGTGTGTGGCTCAAGAGCACTTGCCTAGCAAGCACAAGTTCTTGAATTCAACTCCAATACCATTTAAAAAAAAAAAAAAGGAGTGATTGAAAACATTCAAGTTGGCAAATGTAGGCTTTTCAGAATGCCTGAAGGCAACAGTAAGGTAAGTACTGGACAGCATAGTACTTTAAAAATACAGCATTGAAAAATCAGGGACTTTACATATGGCATGTCATTTATTCCCACCCTCATCTGAAAGATGAGGACATGAGGCTCCGCACGGTTAGCAAACCTATTTGTCCAAAATCACAGAGCTTCACAGCTGCAGGGCCAGCACTCACAGAGGCACCTGGCTCCTGCCTACTGAGACTGTGTCTGCAAACCAACATAAACAACCTGAGGAGCAGCAGCAGGGCCACTTCTCACCACTTAGGCCAAGATTTAAAACACTCTGAAAAGGCTGGGCTCCAGTGGCTCATGCTTGTAATCCCAGCTACTCAGGAGGCAGCCATCAGGAGGATCACAGTTCCAAGCTGGCACCAGGAAAATAGTTCAGGAGAACCTGTACTGAAAAAACCTGTTACTAAAAAAGGGCTGGCTGCATGGCACAAGCAGTAAGAGTGCCTGCCTAACAAGCATGAGGCCCTGAGTTCAAATCCCAGGACGACCAAAAAACAAAACAAACAAAAAAAAAACCACTCTGAACAGTAAAACTCCATGTAAAACAAGAAAGGGCTGCATAGTGGTGTCTCCAGCCCAAACTTGGAGAGTGAGTGTCCCTACACTGTCATGGCTCCATGACATCGTCAGATGATGCATCCATTCTCTTGACACGTGTAGCTGAGGATTTCAGGAAGTGTTTAAACACCAGAAAGCAAGGACATAAGCAGTGTGCATATATATGTCCACCTGTGGACACCCAGCAGGATCAGAGTTACGTTGTCCCTTAGATCTTCTTCAGGGAAGCTGAAGATCTCAGGCTGGCCAGTCCCAGCTCTCCTTTCCATTACTCCCCTCAAGTACTCACTTGGCGTTGGTGGAGTTGGAGATTCTACCCCTCATCTCACAACTATAACCAATCCAAACGCAAGACAAAAACGGAAAGATGGTTGTAGCTCCTTCAGTTTATGATCTAAGTAGACACTGATGTGGAGAAGAAGCGTATTAGGCATCTAACCAATAGTAGAATAAAGTAATGTGAGTATAAGGCGTTAAAAAGTCACACATCGAAATTAAGCATTTCACATTTAATTTGTACTTCTAAGCAAAAGTAGCTTGTTTTCACATTACTGGGACTTTTTTTTTTCTATACTGAGATGATTGGATCCAGAGTAGAAAAGAGAAGTGACTAGTAACACTTTACATATCCTTCTACCACAGACTTTACATTTTCCCCTCCTTGACCCCCTTCCCATGCTTGCTAGGCAACTACTGAGCTATACCCTCAACTCCCAGATTTTCTGTATTTAAAATAATCTGGGCTGGCAGAGTGTCTCAAGTGGTAAGAGCGCCTGCCTAGCGAGCATGAAGCCCTGAGTTCAAATCCCATGCCACCAAAAAAATTAAAATAATCTAACTATAAATACATGCTAAGGAGACAGCATGATGTGAATGCAAAGCAGTAGGATTCTGCAGCCAGTGAGACCAAGGTTCGAATCCCAGCTATTCATTAGCTATTCCACCCTGGACGTGAAATTTCCTCTGGGCTTCAGTTTCCTTGTCCTGAGAAATGGAGCAACCACACTTTCACTGTAGTCATCAAGAGGCTGATTGTAATGATGGGAATACTTACATTGGTGCCTAACATTTCCTGAGTACGTACTGGAGCTGTGCATTGCTTTGTGTCCTTCCCTCACAACGACCCTACCATTTATTATTGGTTTGCCATATCTTATTTATTTGGCAGGTAAGAACCTAGACTCAGTGCAGTGATGGAATCTAGTCCAAGGTCACATATGTCAGCTGCGGAATGAGAAACCAAATCTGTCTGTTGCAAAGCCTTACCCAGCATTCTAACTGTGAAAGCACCTTGCACAGGTACCACAGCTGCTCAGTTACTACAAGCCATTTCCATAACCAACTACAAGCCCATATCTGTTACTGATCGTCACAGAATGTGCTATTTCAAGCAGACAAACATCGTAACTTCCCATTTCAACATATCAAACCTTGGTTAATTTTGACCATGTTTCAAAATAAGCACATTGTTTATTTCCCCACTTCTTCCACAGAAGACACAGAACATGATGGAGGCAAGTTCACGATGAAGACTGTTGCCAGGGTTGTGTGATACTGTACTGTGTTGTAGTAATGATCTCAGTCCTTTGCAGTTATAAACTTTTAGGTCTTTCTCTCTCGTTGCCACCCTACCCTGTGTTCTCAGTTTATTTCCTCAATTTTTCCCACCCACTTTCTAGGTTGCTTTTTACAACTGCTGGAGAAGGAGGACCACACACACAACACCAAAATTAATAAAATTTTCCAGATAAATAAAAGTATACATGCTCTAAAGGGCAGGTGGATGTTCTTTTGTGGTGGTAAGGTAAGGGACACATATTAGTGCCGGAGTTTTTGACAGTTATTGGTTGTGTACTCTGAGGCCGTTCTTATTTTCTGGCCATCTTTCAGAGGACTAAAGTTGCCAGATGTTAAATTTCCACATAAGGGTGGTGTCTAAGTCTTTTTTTTTTTTTTTTTTTTTTAAAGAAAACGAAACACAGTGTTTTGTAAATTTCTTAGCCATCTATTAATCGTTAAGACAACTCCTCAGGGTTGGGCCAAGGTGGATATCATTTTCCTTCTTATAGAACGTTTTATTAAATTTCATCTTACTATGTTACTAAATATCTATCTCATTACCTAAAATATCAAAGATATTAGCATAAGCCCCATTGATTTCTTGGAGAAATATCTTCTTATACTTTAGAACTGTGTTCTGAAAGAGTTAATGTTTCTTTCTGGAACTTTTTCATTCTACCAGAAAATGACTCAGAAGTACAGAAGAATCTGGCTCAATAAATTCTTTTACTGACTGACCTCCTACTCTGCTGGAACGAGTGTGTAGTCACCAAGAAACACACACCCTAGAAGGGTACAGAAGTCAGTCTTGCTGCGTTATGTGATTCATACGTGAGAGCAGAAGCTAGGGCCTGACGTCTCTATTTTACATATGGATTTTACCTTATGCTTCCCTGCCCCGCACACACTACGAATAGCAACTATTATTACTCATGCTGGGCCATTTTAGAAACCTGGCCATATATTTTGAAACGTAATCATCATTGGCTTCTGTAAACTGCTCTGCAAACTCCAGATAGAAGTAAAAAGAAGTGCAGAGGAAATGCGAACACAGATAGCTTGAGGGAAAGCGGAAGAAATTGCTGCCCACGTGCCATGATGTCAGGCCATCAGAAGTGTGCTGGGAGAAAAAAACAACAACCCTTCTTCTCTGCATTTCCACCTTTGGAGAGTTGTTCTGCGTTAGAAATATAAATATCCACAGAAAGATAATTCTCCAAACTCTCTGAGAATGTAAACTCTGGGGAGAGATTTTTGTCCTCTGTGTTCACTGGTGTGCAGCAATTTCAACACATACAAGATCCTTGAATGATTATTTGAACCTTAG